ATGGAAGAGATTTGGCAGGTCATTGGAAATTTGGAGTCTAGTATCCATATGCCGAGCGTACAGTATGAAAACTTGAATTAACCATGTTCTAATGGGTCCGTCAGCATCATCAAGCCGTTTCAAGTAATTACTTTTTCTGGATTTTTTTTATCTTGCGAACTCACGCATATTCGTGGGTGCGGGATCGTCCATATTTAAAAATATTTTGATCTTTCCACTGAAATGACATTCGTCATTATCAAAATACAGAAATGCAAAAACGAGAGGATGCAATGTGGGGAAATAAGACAGAAACATATCCACCCGTCGATTTAGAGAGAAATTGCTCCTTTGTCAATGCAGCAACCGGTTCCTTACAGCAAAGGTGTTTAAAAAGGTGATAATTCAGCGCATATCACCAACGAGAGATCTTCTGTTTTTAAAAACGGCTCAAAGTGATTATCTCAACAACATAATCAGATCTAGCGGCTATCTGTTTTTAGTTTTAGTGTTATCAGCTGCACTGTTTTTCATACACAATATACAGCACTTTATGTCGATAGCAGTTGCATTGTCAAATCCAGTAAACCTCTGCCTCCGCCATACATTAATAAAAAAGCCGCTAATTAGTCCATCGAAACGTCGAGGACCTCACTTCAGGCAAGAACAGTTCTTTCTGTTTTTCATGCTAGAACTGCACGATGTCTGGCTCTCAGACCGATTCCTGTTCAGTAGCATTTTAACAAGATTATTAAAGATTCTTGTTTCGGTATTAAATAAGACAGATATGCAGAAAGAATATGTCGCTCCTCCTTCTAACCCATTTCCTTCGACAGGAATTGCCTATTAGAATTGGCAACATATTTGACACACTTCTGGACTCTATACCAAATCAATCGACTAATCAAAGTTAAGTAGTTTATTTAACCTGCACTGCCATCGGCGATTAGTTTTTTTTGCCACGGATCTCTTTCACCTTATAATAACGTTTTCTGGACTAGTGATGTGTGAGACATTACATCGCAAAGGATATAAAGTCCTGCAACAAGCAGTTACGATCGTCCGGGTCAGTAACATGATAAACGCAGATACCTCGTAGAATGAACTGAGAAGAGGTCATGCCATCACAGCGTTATGGCGTTTTGGACAGTCGCCGTTAGACGACCAAAGTGACCTCAGAATAGATCTTCAAGCTTGTTGTTCAACATGATCGCACAGGCAATACTATACTAGCTTTCTGACCCGAACCGAACTACATTACTATGTTCAGCAACCGAAATTCTTTCCAGGGAGCTACAAGACCAGCAAGACAGAAAGATCATTGCCAAAAATAATGCAAAGTAACCTATGAACGGTAATAAACCTGAAAAATATGCCTTTGTTTGGTGAAGATCTCCTAATCCTTTTTGTGTTCCTTCTTCAGCACCAACTGATGACATTCAGTTGAGATATCGTAATCATGGATAAGAAACATCATCAGGTTAACAGCAAAAGCATTGCAAAGAGCAAACAATATAAAGAACATAAATGTCAACGAAAATGAAATTTTTAAGAAATGACAGAAGTAAAATAAATATAAGGAGATCAAATAGTAGAAACTGAATTATTGAAAATGAGACTACAAGGCGAAAAATCCTAGAAGCTAAATTCCTCATCTGTACAGGCTGCATCAAAAATACTTTGTTGAGAGCGGATTTGAGAATCAGCGGTGCTTTCAGGGCCTAAGATCTTCACGCCGTTGCTGCTAGTATACGGCAGGTCTTGAACAGCATACTTCGCAAGAGCAGAGTGCTTATGAGTTAAAAATCCGTTTGAGAACCTTTACAATTAATTTTTAACAATCTAGTTTATAAGTTTATAGTTTATAACACTACAAATAATGATAACGGATTTAAATGGCGAAACTGCAACAAATGCCCATGGTACATTTGGGAATATCGGGGTGATATTTTATATCTTATAAGCATATATGTTATCTGTTGTTAAGCGTTGGCTATAAAAGAAGTTGCATGAAATGAAGGTTAGATGATAAAGATACAATGCTTAGTACTTTTTTGGTATCGGAGGTGAAGACTGTAACTAAGATAAAAAATATGATGCTGGAGAACACCGGGATCGTAACCATTTTTAAGTATACATATACCCAAATATATGATAATAATAGTGAAATATTTTCGGGAAACAGCGAAATTTGGTTGTTTATTTAAAGAGAAATCAAAAGGGACAAAGAATTATTGATAAAGTCTCTGTTTAACTTCATGTCCTCGATTCCAAAAGCTTCACTTAAAAAATGTTTTTTTCAGGCTAGTAATCGTCTCTTTATTGATCGATTAAGAGCTAGTCATGTATTTTCTAAGTGAAAGCATTTAAGCAACTGCATCTATTAATGCACTTTTGTGTACATCAATCCCTCGATTCACGAAGGTAATTAATTCGTCTGCTCCCCCTCCCACTGTTCGTAAGATGAAAATTGGTAATTATTTCAATGCAAAATCTTCACCGGTACTCGATTGTAGTAAAAGTCTGAGGAACTACTCATTGTTTTCTGTGTTAAAATACTGCACAACGGTAAAACCGACGATGTTATAAATTTTCAGGGAAGTCACTGCATATTTTGCCATATTTATTTATTCCAAACCGAAGTATCATACCAAACATTTATATTCTAAGGCGGCTATCCTTGTTACATTGTATACGTAAGAACCAATGTAAACAAAGAATAACTGTCTTTATTAAAGCCCTTACTAAAGCTTAGTTACCATAAGTATAATAATCATAAACGTGCATGCGTTCGGA